GATGGTTACCGACAGAGCACGATGGAGACAGCGAACATGAACAGAACATGACAGCAAGTGTGAAGGGAGGCTTCATTAAAGTTCGAGAATAGAACTTCACAATAAGTATTTGAAACTGAAACACGGGCGCACTTTTATGGAAACTCCCATGTTTCTAGACTTACTTAAAAGTACCCTTTACAACGAATATATTATTTGAATAAAACTCTATTTTGATAAAATCACTGTTGCAGTTAACAATAGGTCTACCTACTAAGGGCGACCTCGAACTTAATATCACTCTGCCATCTAGCTGAGTAAGTCTGATGTACTGGCCTATAGGCCTCTATCTAAACAATAGACGTCACGTGTGAATGAAAACGAAACACGCCTTTTTAATGTAACCCACACAAACGGTGCGTGTGACCGCATGGGAGAACGGGAAATGGAACCACCCAGAAACAGAACCAACCATTTTATTATAAGCATCGACGCGTTTAATTTATTTTGGAAGGTTCTACTGTCGTATCTCCTGGGTACAAAAAAAACTTTGGCAATGAAAAGGGGATATTAAACTTGATGAAATCGTTAAACCACCATTGATTTATTTTCGTTTTTGATATTACAGTGTCACATAACTAAGAGCGTGGTAATATATTTTACGTATTAACATATCTCTTTACAGATATTTAAGCACTTCAACCGACAACTGAGTTTAATGTTCTAGTGTAAATCTGGAAGTTATATTACGTGTTTTTCTAACGCCGATTATCAACAAACTGTCCCACACAAACAAGATACTCACACAATGAGCTCAATATTTAAATTCAACACGAACACTAGTACCTAGCGAGCGTACAGCAAGAGACTTAAGCTGATTGGCTCACAAGGTCACGTGACAGAAGCGTTCAAAATTCAACCGCTATCTTTTATGTCGTACATATTGGCTGTAATATTGGCCAATGTGGCCTCTTCGTATTATTTGACTGTAATAATCCGTCACTTTTATCAACAGAAAGATTCTGCTTACACTGAGCATGAATATTTAGTTGTTTGTTGTTAAATCAAGGATTAAAACACGACTTGTAGTTTCTATTTTACTTCGACTTTTCCATAATTGTCTCCAATTTCCCCCATTTCTCTTTCATAATTTGTATAAATATTGATGTCTGAAGTTGGACATAAATAAAAATCACAAGGCAGAGATTTTGTAAAGGTTTTTATGAAATTTAATCAAAATTACGCAACGGGATTGGAAGATGAAACACGCGGATGGGTCATTATACCCAAGGACATAACCTCGCAGATGTGTGCCCACTGCATTCACTTTATAACAACAGCCATGTCGGAAATACGTCATATCGTAATTTTCGTTGAAGCCTCAGCAAGGAGTCGCATGTTGTGGTGTCATTAACTGGGTAAACATAAAGTAAAGTTTGTCCCACTATACGCCATGTAGGCGTTTGGGGTGAGAGGAGATATAGCTCCTCTCTTCCTTGACCTCGGCACTAGATGGGGGTGAGTGGTCAGCATCACGCCCAGGCCGGCTTTACCCCCGGGAAAGGACCCCGGTACCCATTGTAGAGGAGGCTGGGTGGGCCCCAGAGCCGGTCTGGACGCAGAGGCTAGAGGAAAAACCCTCTGCCCCCGTCGGGGATCGAACCCCGGCCGTCCAGCCCGTAGCTAGTCACTATACTGACTGAGCTATCCCGGCTCATGTCATTAACTGGGTAGACACTTGAATTATAGCGAAAAGTGTTTACCTTTTCTCGGGTGTGTTCGAGCAACAGCCCTGCCTTCCACCAGGATATGTTGGCAGGAGGTCGCGAGCCCGACGACTGGCATGCCACCTCGTATTCGCTGGCTGCACTCAACGGCTGGTTCTCACCCAGAAGACGGACATCCAGAGGACGAACTGTAAACACACGAATATTCAGAACATTAGTAGCATAAATATCTCGTCATGATTTCTCTAAAGACGTAGGAAAATTGTTGATTTGTAACACCGATACTATTAGGCAATGAGATTTTTTAAAACACACGACGTTTCGGAAGCTGTAAGTACTATAATAATCAATTTTTTTCATTTTCTGACAGCTTATCAGTTTTTTAAGCTCAGTGGCAAACTCTGTGGCTGAATCCGAGTAATATACTCACCTACAATTCACGATTTCCCCGGGTTCGATCCCAATTTTTGTGGAATTTTGTCTTGACAGCTGCTAAAACATTATTTCAGGCCCTCCTAGTCCAAGACGAGGAAACATTGTCACTAAATTCAGGATATCAGGTGCACTTCTTGACAATTATAGTATGAATCGACTCGTAATTGACGCTAGAGACCCGAAACAGTTCTTCTTGAGAAGCTAACAATCGCTGCTCAAGTACTTAAAAAATTTCCCCGCTTTTAATAAAATTAAAAGTTGATTACCGTACCACATCGTCCCACACTCGTCCTTGAAGATCGATTTAAGTATTATCCTCCCATCGATGCCTATGTCATACGTAATTCTAGCACATCTCCTAGTAAAATAATGTCAGCCACAGACGACATACCATACAAATAAGATCCCCAAGTCTGGAGCAAGTTTGTCGCTTTCCAAGAGACGATATCAGCCCGGACGGAAACCGCTAAGTTAAGTGCATCGTAAATCATATTTTCCTCAACTGCAAACTTGATACAGAATGTATTCTGGTTCCATCACCACAAAAGCTTCAAAATATGCGTAAGCGTTAATGCCCTGTGCCATTTTCGAGTTCCTGAATTAAACTGAATAATTATAGAGAAAACTTAATACAAATGTATGATAACTGCGATATTAAAATGGGTCTTACAGTAAGGGAGATGGGTTTTGAGAATGGAAACTGCCTGAGGATCGTGCCATATGGTGGGTTTTACTGTTGGCTGCTTAGAATCCAGAGTTTCTGATACTGGAGCATTAGTAATAAAAAATAAAGTAACAGAAAATAAAAGTGAAATAAGTATCATTTACGAGAAGAAATCTCTGTTATAGAACATCTTGGAACCGATACAAAGAATCTTCCAGACGAAGTACAATCAACTCAGGTACAACAAGCATAATGTAAAATACATAAAGGTTTCTTAGTTTGCTTTTTAATGTAATGAACCGATTAAATTGTAAGAAAGACGATAATGAATGTAGAGTAGGGAATGGTTTGGAAAAAGACGACAGTGAACGTGAAATCAGAAAATTCACCTGGAGGATCTGAGAAAAACTACAAAAATCTCAATTAGAATAACCAGTAATCTGACCAAGATTTGATACGTCTACGCATAATACGAGGCCGATATAATTATTTAATGCCAGTTTTACACTTTCAAATGTATAATTAAACCATGAAAAACAACAAGAAATAAAAAACAAATTGTGTAATTTAAAGAATCAGCAAACAGCAAAATTTTTTATATGTTTCTTTTTCTTACTTCGCAAGCTTATTACATAATGTACAATATACTTAAAGTGTGATTCAAAATCACCTCTGGCCCTCAAGCTACACCGTCAATAATTGACGTCACTGATTTTAAGAGAAGTGGCAGGAAAATTAAATTAACTATTTTGTTAAAACACTTTGCATTCTGTGCACAGTACACCCCCAACGTTCATACCATCCATAACGTACACCTGCCATACCTTAAGTTCTTGAGAACGATTTCAACACGAAAAAGCGTTACGAGATAGTTTTTGTACTGCGACGTTCGATCTGTTGAATTGGATAAATATTTCTTGTCAGGGCCCCCCTTCAAAATAATATACCCCACAGAGGTAAGAGTTGGATTTGGCTGCCATGTGCAGCAAAGGTTTTGACCAATTTGATTCTAGTGTAAAACGATGCATTTACCCCTGGTGATTGCCATAGTGACAATAACTCAATTATCTTTAAAAAAAGGTATTCATGTGGTTGTGCAAATGACCAATTCAGTTGTGAGACAAGATTAATGCGAACATTTTGTGTCAAATTTAATACAAATTCATGATGGCAGGAGAAGCGTTTGATCTAAAGTCAAATTCACCATGCATGACCAACCCATTATATTCTTACTGTATGCACTGAGGGTAGAAAGAATTAAAATAAGTTAATCACACAGATATTTTTAGATGAGGTAAGAAGTAAAATTAGAAATTAAATTAACTATTTTGTTAAAACACTTTGCATTCTGTGCGCAGTACACCCCCAACGTTCATACCATCCATAACGTACAGCTGTCATACTTTAAGTTCTTGAGAACGGTTTCAACACGAAAAAGCGTTACGAACTTACGGGACAGGTTGTAGTTTCTGTGGAACCTGATAACAGAAAACGATCACGAACTTATGATGAGGAAGCTAAACAAAAGACATGCGTGCTGCTGTAGAATAAAGTAGCAACAGAGGCTAAATTTATCGGGAGTTGAAACTGAAAGCATTTGTTATTATTTTGAGAGAGAACTGTAATTTCCTGTTTCTGATACGCTTCAGTCACTCTCAATTTTTAACTTTACCTTTTTCATACTCTGCCTATCAATTTGAAATTTAGTAAACTAAAAAAATGTCCAACATACGGGGAACTGCCATTATCGGTACCTTATAAATAAATCTATGGACTGTGAACTTTCAAAAACCTATTAAGAGCATCGTCAACATCGAAAAATAGTATATACCTCTTTGTTCACATCAATTCGCACAAGACGGTAAATAATAGGATACTGTCAGTGACTGTTTTTTACACAGGAATGACGCTACATGAAAAAACGTTCTATTCTGAAAGTGCTGTTAACATTAGGAAGCAATTAGAAATATTTTTGAAGGAGAGAATTGTAAGAAAGGGCAAATAAGGGTACATGACGAAGATCGACATCATTCCTCGTCGAATTTCAATGGACTTTTTCACTAATGTTACTTTACTTCCAAAAATGTAATTTGTTCATTGTGTAGATAAAGTCTACTATATTTAGGAGGAGGGTGGATTAATAAATTATTTGTATACACTCCTAAGAAAATTCTTCGATGACTACTTGAAATATTTTATAGGGATTCAGAAAGACATTTTATTTCAGATGACAACCTACTTCTTACCGTGACGTTACTTGATTTTACGCCGTGTAGATTCGTCGGTGTTTAAAAAACCCAGAATATTTTCCTCATCGCCATTTAAACCTCAAAACTGACTTCTCAACGTTGTCTGCTATTTCTGCAGTGTCATTTATCTGAAAGGAGGACAGTGTCACATAATTAAAACCCTTTACTGTTTACATTAAACGCAACGCGTAGATATATGTTTGCTTGATTCTCCAATTTTAACGTTGTTAAGAGTTACATATTCCGCCAAGCTTATGTAGTAGACTGTGTCTGATGTTAGGTTTAATTAAGAACTGAGACAATTGGCAATCTTAAAAGTCAAACAGTCTCCTGCGCGATACAAGTACAAGACAAAGCGACCACAAGTGTAATTTAATCTGAACAACGCAAACTGGACGCATTACACGTGAACCAACAAACTTTGCCTTTACATTTTGTAATTTACAGCAAAGGCTTAGAGGATTCTGTCGTCTGGGCTGCTTGGGTCATGGAAGGCTAGAATACTGAGATTGTATCCCGCTCGTAGCATAAATGCAATCTGTATTATTTTATTTGTGATTTCTTTCGTAGCAAATATTCTACGGGCTGAGCGACCACGTTAGGTATTCGGCAGAGACATTGAAATTTTTTCGCCGCTGCATCCAAATTTTGTCTGAAGCCCACCAGCCTCGGGTATTATTTACCCTGGTGTACCGTATTCTGTGCATGAAGCTGGCGATTCGAAGATAAAAACGCATGGAACTTTTCTTTACTTTCCCCATACATCTCCATGGCGTGGCCGTTAATTAAGCACAAGAACAATTTTACTTTCACTGACCTTCAAGGTCGACAGATAACGAATATGCAAAAACGCTGACTGTAGTTCAGTGGTTTATTAAAAGACATTTTAGTAAAAGCTGTTTCAACTAAAATTTATATAGAGTTAGATGAGATGGGAAGACACTCATGAACGAGTAGATAAACAGTACAAACTCTAATTTTAGTTATTGTCTTGTATGGGTGTAAAATATGGTCTCTCACGTTAAGGGAAGAATTCAAATTGAAGGTATTCGAGTAAAGGCTCTTCAGAAGAATGTTCAGGGGGTCACAGCAGGAGCGTTAAATGTCGCGGTACCGGTCGAACCCTTGTACTGATGGGTCGTGAATCCTGCTAACCACCAATGCACGCCATGCTGAATGGTGTGTACTGGATACGAAAAAAAATAATAATATGAACACGGCAATAAACCTTCGAATTCCATAAAAGTCTAGAAATTTCTTGATTAGTTGAGTGTACTATTAGCTTCTCAAGAAGAACTGTACCCTACGTCGTTTGTTAGTTAATAGATAATTTGATGGAGACGCTCATGTGAGGAAACCATCCCGGCAATGACCTAGAAAGAACGAGGAATCCATGAAGCATACGGACAGACAATTAAACCCGGATCTCTCAAATTTGAAAAAGGATTACTAACGTTTGAACTGATCTACCAAGTCCGATCTCTGTGATGTTGTGGATAAGGTTCTAAAACGTCTACGGATTTAAACACCCTTTCTTTGTGCGTTCTTTAAAATCCTGTTCATAAAGTTCTAACTGGTTCTAAAAATTTCTGTTTTTAACTTCAATTTAACTTCATTCTGAAACAGCTCAGCTCAGCTGAATTGCTCCTTGCATAAGGTATTTATTATAGATGAAAGCTGCAAGTGGTCTGGATGTTCCAATGGACAGCAGAGTTAATCAAAGCGTAAAGCTGATTTTATCCGATAGACTGTCAATGGGTTCCCATAAAATTACAATGGCGACAAAGAGCACAAATCCTAATCTGTGGAAAAAGGACGTAAGACTGAAAAGTCACAAATTTTTATTTCGAGAGAATTTATTATTCGATTTCATGTCAAACACAGCTCAGGGGTTTTATGAAACATCATATCTAATGGGTAACGGAATAAATGCGGCGACTTCATGAATCTGAACTTTCACCTTCATCCAGTAACGAGTTTAAAATGTATCAACATTTAGTCATACTTATTGCTCTTAAATGCCTTCGTGGGCTGATGATTAGAATGAGAAACTTTTGCATGTTTATTATTAACGGTATGGATGCTGTGAAGGGAAAAACTACTGGATGTCAAGGAATTTCAATCTGAACCAGTCCTACCAAAGACGTCATACTTCACAC